CATTTGTGAATATCCTCATTTAAAAACAAATGGCACCACAGTTCCAGAGTTCTAAATTGAAAAGTTAGTAGCAAAAAGAACTGCTCAAAAATCCATACTCTATAAAATCCACATAGTTCATGAAGAGAATGATAGAACCATAGATCATGGGCAATTATGCTCCAAAGAAAGATTGTGAGCCTGATGCATTCATAGGCCCTCCCAGAATAAAGGCATAAACATAGGAATATAATATCACAGCCAAATTGTCTCATTGTATTGTCATATTTTTGTAAATGAGATTCATAATAATAAAATAATAAGATCAGCATATTTTCATGAAAAATATTATGAATACTAATGTTCAGATTCAAAAAAAAAAAAACAAGTTTTTTGCCAGGATGCAGGATGTGAGTCTTTCAGAGAAAGAGGATAAGGCAAGACCTGTAGAAGAACACTCCTCCACCTGGTCGTGATGGCATTTATGGGGACATCTTTACATTGTCATACATATGATGTCATCAGAGAGTCCTGGGGAGACTTTATTAAAAGTTCTTTTTTCCTCATCACCATGCAATATGTACAGGGATAAAGAGATGCACAAAGCATATAGATTTGGAAATATGGGCTGACTCTCAATCTGAGGTAAGCACCCAGTATTCACATGAGTAGGGAACAGAGAAGTAATTCATTACAAATCTTAAGGGTATTATTTTTTAGTAAATCTTGTTTTTAATGCTATCACCACCAAATCAGCAACTGTGAGACTATTTCAAAATATTTTGACATGAAGCAGGAATTAAATTCCAAAATGAATGTCCTTATGTAACTTTAGAAATGTAAACTAAGGTTGAGGATAATGTACTATTAAAAAGGCAATGTTCTCTCATACTGGTCTGTCACTACCAATCTTGGCCTCAAAATCATAACACTGCTTTCTCTACTAATGAGCAAGTCCAATCAAATAGCAAAGCTCCAAAATAAACAAGAGAGCCATGTTTTAAATACTGTTTTTGAATACTCTCCATCCTAAAATACTTTAAAACAGCATTTGTCTTTTAAACCATGAAACTCACCTCATCTAATTATCCATTATGTTAGGTGGCTAATAACTTCCTTCAAACAGCCCTTTAAAAAAAATGTAACATAGAACTGCTATAAAAATACAGAATAATTATTCTTTTTCATGTAATTACCAAGGTAAGAAGATATTTATGGAGGTGAGTCCTAATTATGATAAATTGATTAGTTCAAAATTCTCATGCACAGCATGAACTCTGAGAATATTAGCTAACATGTATTAAGAAAATAATATATGCCAAGTATTGTGTTCTCAAAATTGGCCTCATTTATTTAATTCTCATAATAACCCTGTGGGTGGTATTATTTTTACACCCATTTTACTCATGAGAAAATGAGGCATGGTTTACTTACAGTCACAAAACAGGATTGTCTTGCATCAGAGCTATACTAATGGATGAGCAGGAGGAAGGTAACATTTGGAGTTCTACTTCATTGTGACAAAACTATTTTAAAATTTTATGTTGTTATTTTATTCTGTAAAATTCTAGGGGAAAATGTCAAGAAATCAGTGATTCTATGAGTGGGTTTTTAGACTAGCTGCAGATTCCAGAATTGTAGTTTTATGTATTCAAGCCCAGAATCCATTTGGATGTAACATAAGAACTCTTGCCTTCTGCAAATCCTTGCTTTGAGAGCTTTTGCATTTATAAACAAGCATGCACCAGAATTCAGCACGTCTTTTGAGTTGATCTGCTGAAAATGTGACTGTATAATACAGTCAGACTTCATTTGGGCCATCCTTTGCTGGTTAGGTACATTGGCAATGAAAGATCTGAAGGCATAAATCTGGCAGCAGCTTCAAAATATCCAGTTGGCCCTGGAACGTTAACATGCTCATTATGTGCATTTATTGTGCATGGGTTTGCCGCTGTCTAAATCTACCCTGAGTCTCCAATCAAGAATAAGTATTGATAGGAACACTGCTAATATGACATGACTGGGGACAATACAGAGTGACATGACCTGAGGTGATGAGGAAAACACTTATGGTTTCCTGACTATCCCCCTCCCACTCCCTGCCACTTATCTTAATGCACATTACATCCCTGGCCCAGCAGTCACAGACAGAAAAGCCAAAAGGTATTTATGAAGCTGCATCCATCGACACCACCCATGATTCACCTGAAATGCTATCAGCTACAAACTGACTTATATCCACTGTCCACTCTCTATATGCAACACACTCTGTGTCTGTAGTTCTAACTCTATAGTTAGGGGACAGCAAGGCATTGCCCCAAATCCCAGATACCTTTCACAAAGACCTCGCAGGAAATCAGATGGGAAGTAAGAGAGTCATCTGAGTTGGCATTTGCTCCATAAAGAGAAAAAGATAACAAAAAGAACAAATTAGATTTCCACCTAAGACCAGGATATAGAGGAATCAACAGTACAAATAAACAAACCCTGTATATTTGTGATTGCTGAAGCAACCTTCCAGAGCACTTCAAGTGTACCCATTTCTAACCCACAAACACAAAGATTCAGAAGCACACTTTTAAATACATTATTTATTGTATATTCAGAATGATTATTTAATCCTTATGCAATACCTGGATTTTCAGCAAATACCGGGGACCATAGCTGAAGTAATGTTCTGAACATGGTGAATTCTCAATCTCTACTATTGTATTATATCCAGAGAGTATTATTCCATAATTTCCTATATGAGCCTTTGATTGACCTAGATATTAGAGAAATGTCCTACAATTACTAAAAATATTTTCTCTAAGTTAAATAGGGATAACTGCTTGGCTTCTGTGAGCACTCTATACGCACGGAATTTAATTTTTTTCTATCCAAAATTCATGGACAAAATGGCCTATTCAACACGAAAAACATATTGCACATAATTTAATCTTTCTTTGAGTTAAGAAGCTTATTCTGAGATCTCCCTGAAACTCAAGAATTTCATTATGATTTCAACTTGATTGCATAAAGGAAATGTGAACACAGTATTTGGCAAGTGATCTGAGAATGGAGCACCCATGAACAGTGTCTGTGCTGCCAGTGGCAGGTCCCCCAAACAGTCTCCTGACACCAGGACAAAAGTAAGAGCGATAATGTGAACTCTTCTCACTTTTGGTAGTCGAACTAAACAAAGTTTTCTCTCAGCACATACCATTACTCACTATGTAGGCACTCTATAAACACAGCCAGAAAACCAAGACAAAGGCCAACCTAAATTTTAAATCCCATGGTGGTAATCTGGGATAAGACAGGATTTCTCTTCAAAAATGAGATTTTATATATATATATATATA